TCCAGAGCGGTTGTATTCAGCAGCCTTCGCCATTTCATCCATATTCCAAGTTCAACACCAGACACTTCTCCATCAAACAGGCCGATGCATAACAAAAGTCTAGGTTTATATTGTAGGTACGTAGTACATTGAAACAGCAATATACAGATGGTATGATGTTGTCTACCTTGGGGTCAGTTTGATCCAGTTTGAGGGGAAAATGCGACGTCGCAATTTGACAAAGTTGGCACGCTCGGTGCTTCAAGAGTTAGCAGTCTTCTTGAGAAAGACACCGTGGAAGCACTGTATGCCGGCATCGAGACTGACGAGGTGCCCTACCTTCAAGCCACCGATTCGCGTGCCTATGCGACCCCAGGCACGCAAAACGCGCTGTTGACGCGGACTCTTGTCTGAGCACAGCACCTGCAATCTAACGGTTATAGCGGTAACCGTTGCATGTTGTTTAACTAATAGCATTGTGCCGTATGTAGAATTGTGGAGGACAGGGATAATTAAATTGACTGCTACGGTTACCAACATCAGCTGTCATCATGCGCATGCTAAATTGAGCAAGTGTTCCTTTCTGTGATAAGCACCTGTCTCGATGCTTAGTCCTTCAGATGTATCCTTTCAGAATAACTACTAAGATTAAAGTGCTGTAATTAGTTAATTACACTTATTCCCGTTTGACATAAAATTGAATATACTAATTAACTGAGTGCTGCCTTCCCTCTTCCTCTTCGCCCCACCGACTGGACCCATCCAGCTGCCAAAAACGAAGTGAGTGAATGAGCGGGAGGTTATTGAGGGTGGTGACAACACCAAATGTTAGGCATGTGTCTTTCAAAGTTAGGTGGTGATCCTTGTCATGGGACTAAGTCGCTCTGCTCTCGACCCGCCAATATCCGTGCCTATGCAGCCCCAGGCACGCAAAACTCAGTGTTGACGCAGCTTCATGTCTGAGTGCACCACCTGCAGTGTAACGGTTATAACAACAAGTATCACCATGCGCATGCAGGATTGGATGGGTATTCCCTTCTGTTACAAGCATCTGTCTCTACGCTCGGGCCCTTCAGATCCCCATTTTGAAAATAATTGAGAAGATTGAAGACCTATCGTCAGTTAACTGCACGCATTTGTTTGATATAGCTGAATAAACTAGATAACCAAATGCACGAACACTACAAATTTAAGAAATAAAGCCGACGCCAACTTCTGGGAGGGAAAAGGGAAGTAAGGAAATCTGACCTATTATACGAGTGTAAGACGAGTACGAGGTCAACCATACCAAGGACGACGGAGAGTGGACGACCGTAGACGGTGCGAGCGACGGTGGCGCAGTCCTCGGGGTGGGACCCACTACGGCATCGCCCCTCACACTTAACCGCTGCAATCCATCGCTACTGCCTTTCGACACCGTCTCGAACTCTACTCTCCGCTTTCGTCCCGCCGACTACACCTGCTGACCTGCCAAAACGAAGTAAGCGAGTGAGAGTGGAAGGTTGTCGCGACTAGTGACACTACCCAATGGCAGGCATGTCTTTCAGAGTTTGTTGGTGGCCCTTA